AGTTTGACCATCGGTTTGCGGATGGTCCGCTGTTGACATAGTCAACTTGGTGCCCAGCTTTCTGGAGATTGTAGACCAAAACTTCCTAGTATCTATCAAAGTGGATTGACTCCGGGAATCCATGCTGTCAAAAGACATGATCTACAAACAGCGTCGCTACACCTTCACCATCGATTGTGTCCGGCACTGCCGCAAGATAAGTCATCTTGCTCAAACGGTCCACAAAGACCACTACAACCGAGTTACCTGCCGAGTCCTTCGGCAAGCCAAAACACAAAGTATATACTCATGGACTGCCAACACCTGAAGGGTACCGGTAAACTGGCCAGCGACGCTGCCGCATTCAGAAAGGATTTCACCCTTTGACACGTCTCTCGCATGCGCACATATGTGCTCGTCTGTTTGTTCAGCTTGGGTCACTGGTAGTGGAAACTCACAGAGCTGTACGTCTTCTCACGACCGAGATAACCACTGAGTGGAGTGTCATGGGTCTCATAGCGGATACGGTATTTTGAATCCTCATCGAAACAATTCGTGGCGTATCTGTAGAATTGATGCTATAATACATCATTATTAAACGAATATCGGTGTAATCGTGTGCGGAATCGCGCCGACAGTTTCTTGTCCAAGTTTTCAAACTTCTTGCTTCCGAGAGCCTGTAGCAGCGCCATTCACATACCATCACCCGCGTATGCGGCACGGATCAAATCCGTCACTGACGACGTCACCGTCGTAACATGAGCAAGCTCTAGGTCCGATCTGTGTGAAAACGCATCAGCTTAAGCATTCCGCTTTCTTGGCTTGTACTTCACGTCGAAGTTATATTCTGCAGAAAATGAGAGCCACCTCTGCGAGAGGTGAGGCGACTGAGCCGCAGTGCGTAATGACCCATGATCCGTGTACATCACAAACGGCGTTGAGCCAAGCAGATGCTACCTGAACTTGACAAGTGCGTACTTCATCGCAAATAAATCCTTCTAATGGACTGGGTAGTTTCTCCCGCTGCCTTAAGTTGGTGAGATTCGAACACAAACACCCGATCTCGCCTGCTTGCAGCAGTGCATAGCCGATGGCAAAGTCCGAAGCATCACAGACGACACTAAAAGGACGATCGGGGTCTGGCAAAATCCAGTGATGGTGAATGAAGGAGGCCGTCTTTGACCCTGTTAAAGCCTCTCGATGCTCCGTTACTCAACACTATTCCGTATCCGTCTTAAGGAGATTTGACAATGGCCGTGACATTTCCGCATAACTTGCGCTATACTTGTACAAGCAGATTGCGAGGCCAAGCCACTTGCGCAAGTCCTTTTGGTTCTTTGGACCGACTAGTTCACAATGTCCTTGACCTTAGCGGGGTCCACTTTAAAGCTACGCTTTCCTATGAAGCATCCTTAAAATGGATTTTTTACGCGCTAAAGATGCACTTATCGGCATTAGCATACGGTTTATTCGTGCGCATACACTCGAGCACTGCTGTCTTATGGACGATGTGTTTTTCCGCATCTATCCTTCCGTGCCCCGCACGACTGCGGAGGATAATGTCGCCGAAATATGTATGTGCAAACGCTTGGTGGGGCCTAAACAATTGCGTCTCAAGACGATTAATATTGCTGGCGGATTTGACAGCCCTTGGGGCATCACCAG